CTCCTCGAGGCTGGCGCGGCGGTCGGCCAAGCCACGGACAATGCCGTTACACCGCTGTACATGGCGTGCCAGAAGGGCCACCTCGACGTCGCCCGGCTGCTCCTCGAGGCTGGCGCGGCGGTAAGCCAAGCCCGCAACGACGGCGCCACGCCGCTGTACATCGCGTGTGAACTCGGCCGCCTTGAGTGCGCCCAGCTGCTGCGCGACGCTGGCGCTGGCATCAACCAAGCGATGAACGGCGGCGCCACGCCGCTGTTCATAGCGAGCCAGGAAGGCCAGCTCGAGTGCGTTCGGCTGCTTCTCGAGGCTGGCGCAGCGATCGACCAGGCCGATGAGCAAGGCGCCACGCCGCTGTTCGCTGCGTGCCAGGACGGCCACCTCGAGGTCGCCAAGCTCCTCTCCTCCTACGGCGCCTCCCGCGCCGCTACGCCCTTCGGCACGCCCGAGGAGGTTGCAACCGAAGAAGGCCACGCCGACCTCGCCGCCTGGCTGGTCGCCAGCCGCGGCTGGGCGCCGCTCGCGCACCTTGAGACCCTCACCGCCGCCCGCGCCACCTCCCTCCTGCGCAGCGGCGCAAGCTTGCACGAGGGCGAGCCGACGCCGCTGCGGCGCGCCGCGGGCGGCGAGGGCGAGGCGGCGGCGCTGATCCGGCGGGCGGCGGCGCCGTGGTCGCCGGCAAGCCACTCGCTCTTCCCCGCGGCGGCCCGTGCGCGGGCGGCGCTCCTCGTCCTCTCGATCTACGAGATCCACGAGCGGTACCACCTCGACTCGGCAGGAGCCACGAACGGCATCGCGGCGCTCGACTTTGGCCACTGCGTCTTGGGCTTCGCCATCGCGCGCGAGACGCAGTAGGGGCCTTTTGTAAGAAAGAAAGAAAGAAAACGCACACCCCACTGGAAAATACGCGACGTTTTCTTCTCTGGCGGCATGAGCGGCGCGCCAAGGCGATGATGGAGGACGGTGGCTCGGCGGCGCGACCGCGCGCTCTTCGACTTTCTCGAGGCGTCGCTCCGCCACCGCTCCGACATGGTCATCTACGAAGCGGCCACCGCCATCTGCTCGCTCACGTCGGTGGCGCAGCGCGAGCTGTCGCCGTCGATCACCGTGCTGCAGCTCTTCCTCTGCTCGCCAAAGCCGGCGTGCCGCTTCTCCGCCGTGCGCACGCTCAACAAGATCGCGATGGCGCACCCGATGGCGGTGACCCCCTGCAACATGGACATGGAGGGCCTCATCAAAGACTCGAACCGCTCCATCGCCACGCTCGCCATCACCACGCTGCTCAAGACGGGCTCCGAGTCGGGCGTCGAGCGGCTGATGAAGCAAATCACGTCCCCTTCATGTCCGAGATCGCGGACGACTTCAAGATCGTCGTCGTCGACGCGATCCGCGCGATGTGCCTCAAGTTCCCGCAGAAGCACCGGCTGCTCATGACCTTCCTCGCAAACGTGCTGCGCGAGGAGGGCGGCTTCCAGTACAAAAAGGCCTCCCCGCCACCGCGCCCGACCCCCGACCCCCGCCACCGCCCGGGCGAGAGGGCGCGCGGGGAGGCGCGCCGCGCACCACCCGTCTCGACTCGCCACCCCCTCCCTCGCCGCCAACGGACGGACGCGCCCGCACCTGGAGGGACCGCCGAAGGAGCGCGACGTTCGACCCCCCCCCCCACTTGAGGTCGTGGGCTCTCCACCTCATAACATGCCTCCGGGATCGGTCGTGTGCGTGCCCATCGCCTGCCGCT